TTTTAATTTATTTTTTACTCTCACTATTCAAATTTAATAAATTTAGTCTCTTATTTGAAATGTTCAAATTTAGTTTTTTTTTTTTATAGAATATCATTTAATGCATTTTTTCCTATTTTACTTTTATTTTAAAAGATAATAACAACATATGTATTAGATAAAAAAATCTTATTTAAGTAGTCTTTAATTAGAAATAAATATGACATTTTATCAATAAATTATTACATTTTTATTTTATTAGACAAAAAAATTAAATTTACTAAAAATAAACAAATAGAATAATTTTTTTAAAGGTAATATAAATAAATACATAAATTATTTTTAAATTTTTAATTAAAAAATAAAAAAATAGTAATTACTTTGAAACAGAGGAAATGATTCTTTTGATTGAATTATAAATGTATACTAATTGTTATAAAATATTAAAAATATATCTTCATTTAGTGTACTAATTTATTCATTACTACATCACTTATCTATCAAATATCTTAGGTGTCCTATGAATTTTTTAATAATAAAATGTCACATTAAATTAGTAGTTAAGTGATTGACACTTTATACAATATGCACATAAATTGATAATTATTCACTCCTTTGGGACCACTTTACATTATATAAAACATTATAAAAATACTATAAGTGAATCATTGCTATATTTGTAATTTAAAAATACAATTTGCCTTTTCCTTTTCTTTTTCTATTAGTAAAGATTGCACACACAACCCTATTATAGCATTGGGGTATGATGAGGATCACTTTTATGATTTAGTCACTATTGTTTGTGATAAAATAGCAACTCTTCATTAAATAAAGCAAACATCTGAATTTAATGGTGTTAAAGAAAATCAAACATCTATGATTTTTACAAATGAAAAAATAATTTTTCCTCATGGCTAGTGGGCTTCGTGGGTCCAAAACCCAAGGCACGGGCCCTTGAGTAAAAACTAAAAGGTACTACTACCTTATAGGTTGTATAGCCCTTGAATATTTTGCCCAATGACCATAAAGTCGACAGGGCCTGATTCGCATAAAAGAGGCCCACCGGAAAGTGCGAAAAAATATACGTGGGTCCAACGTCCGCCTGAGAAACTGACGGGATCCAACCGCCAGCTCGATCGTCGAATTCCGAAGTCCAGACAACTGTTTCTGCCGTCACCGTTTTTGGCTAAAATTACATTTAACTCCTCACCTTAATTTGAAGATTTTAGCTTTTAAACAAATGGAATCTATTATCTCTTCGTTAAAGTGAAAATAAAATATTTACAAGATTAGTTCTTAAAGATAAAAAATATAACAATTTAGTCTTAAAGTTTAAAAATTAAAAAATTAGTAAATTAGAAATAATTAGTAGATATTTTTGTCACATACATAAGAACAACATTAGATATCTACAATTAAAGTGAGAAATTAACTCAATCTAAAGAAGAAATTTAACTAAGATTAAAGAAAATTTTTTAGTTGTATTCTTCTAATCTCCTAGACTTTTTATCTTAACTCAGCTAATAAATTTTCTTTAATCTCAGTTAAAATTCCTTCTTCAAATTGAGTTAATCGTTTGACTTATTATAGATATTTAATACTGTTATTGTGTATGTGGCAAAAACATCTACTAATAATTTTTAATTTAATAATTTTTTTAATTTTCAAATTTTGGGAACTAAATTTTTATATTTTAAATTTTTATGAATTGATCTTATAAATATTTTATTCTCACCTTAACAGATAGTTAACAATTCCATTAATCTAAAGGCTAAAATCTTCAAATATTAAAGTTTAGGGAATAAAAACTTCATAGTATAAGGCAAAGAGTTAAAACCTTTAAACTTATATACTTTAGCCCCTCGTTTTTAGTATTTATCATAGTCTAAAATTAGATTAACACTTTCTAATTGACTAATTCATGTTAGAATTGGATGGAATCGTTGTCTGTTTAACTGTGATTTTTACTTTGTTTCAATTATGGAATGTATAGATATCGGTTGTTCTTTACTTTGTTTCGTGTTGTGTTAATTTTCAATGGAGAATGGCAAGATGCTTGCTCATATGGAGGAAGGTTAGATACACAAATGTTTATTGATTATCTTTGTTTCAATTATGGAATTCATAAATACCATTTTCTTGCATTTTTGCTTAATTAATTATTCCAAAGTCAATTCTTCATGCTTTCATAGGCTTGTTGGTATAGTCACTCACTTTATAAGAACCATGCATTATCATGAAAGCAATCTTTGTGTTTTTAAGACACTTTTTAGCTTTCTGCTTGAACCTCATATATATTTTTAAGGATTGAGCAAAATTTGCATGTTTTAACACTTAAAGTGCTAGAAACTATAATGCAAAACATAAAATATAAATATTTAAACAATTTCATAAGAGGTTCTAACATTTAAAGCGCCGAAAGGTCTTGATTTTCACCTTTATATATATATGCTTTTTTGTTTCTTTCACAGGTTAATACAGGCTAATATTTGTGTAGCTTTTCTACTTGTTACTTCTTATTTGGCTATAAGGTACTATGAAGCTTTAACAGGTTGCACTTTATGGCATTCTTTTATAGCTAATTTGATTTTTACTTACTTTTACTAATGTTTTTCTAGAGATTGGGTGACTAGCTTAATTTTCCTTGTTGCTAATACCTTTTTCATGATAATGACTATCAAGCACCATAGACACTCCCCAATATTTTCTATACAGATTCCAAGATTTCTATGAAACTTGATTGGGGGAATGTGCCTTCAACTTGTTTTACTAAAGTTTTAACATTGATTTAACCAGAGTGCTAGACCAACCACATGTTTACAACAATTGCTTTTTCTGTTAGAAGATTGTTGTATTAACTTGAGAGTTCTATCTCTGTAACTTTTCGTGGGTTAGTTTGTAGAAATAGGGAGAAGGTTGAAAGTTGAAACCATTGGTGGCGTAAGTAAGCATAAGAAAATTTAACTCTACTTTGTTAATTTCTAGTTTATAGTTTTTTATTATCAATTAAAAAAAAAAGAGTATTACTGTTTGAATCAAGTAATTTTCTATTTTTTTCCCACTTTTTCATTTTCCAAGTTGTTATAGCTCTCACCAAACCAGTATCTAACAAAACTACTTTATGAACTTTAATCTAGTATTTACATTGGATGTACAAGTCTTATTCAGAATATTTTTGTTTTTGGGTGAGTAGAATTGCAGCATTGGTATTGAAATATGAAGAAGCCAAGAGATCCCCAATAGGCCCCAGCTCTAGGCACTCCTCCGATTAACTTAACAAAGTGGTAATGGATAAGTTCTCTTTCTCACCTTTTCCTATTATGAACAATGAATACATTTCCCTTAATTTCCTCAAAATTGCCACAGTTTCTGCCCCATTACTAACTAGCTTCTCCATGTACCCAACATTACCGAATGCAATGTATTGTTCGTAAAAGTCCATGAAGGCACTATCTATGCCACAATGATCAGTCTGCTTATGAGACATTCCCAACAAAGCCCCATCCCTCAGTTGGGTTAGATGGACTTGCATAATGAATGTAATGACATTCAAATTAACTAGAGGATGGATGTTGAATAATTTGCTGCAAGCTAATGCTTCACAATCATTAGGGCCACTAAAGAATAAGGTTGCTACATGTTGCATTCATTGGGAACTATATGGTTGTTGGAATCTAGTATATGCCCAATGCACCAAGATCCCTACTAATCAAGGACTATGTCGAAGAACGTGGTTGTTGGTTATCCTAATCCATTCATTGTCTATCTTCATGTTCCCATCAATCCATTGGTGCTTGGGGAATGGAAGGAATATCATTGATACCCTTTTATCTTCTACACTATTACAAACATCCTCAAACATGCCTGCAAAGGATGACACAACCTTGATGGGTTTTATCATAATCTTTTTCCCTATAGTAAAGGTATCAATGACATTATTAGTTTCTAGGACATCATTTCCCCCATAATAATCTTCATCATTGAATTGATAACCTTCTTTTAGTTGATGATACATCAAATTTTTCTTGCTTTTCTTAGGGAGTTCAACTAAGTGCATCAAGTAATGAGCGATGAGAGCAAACTAAGAATTGGAGAAAGCTAAAACCAATCCAAGTGCTCCAGAAATATGAACTGGACCATGCACACAAGCTAAAATTCGAAGTTCAGACTCTAGATCATGCAACTGATAAAGATTTCTCTTCCTTTCTTATTATGAAATTGATTGCCATACCCACAATCAATGTGTTTAAAACTACTGTTGCAATAAGCAGACTACGAATGTCAAAACCCCACCATGTCTACAATAATAACCAAAATTAGAACAAAGTTAGCCTAGTAGACAATAACCTTTTCTCTTTCTATCTTTATCCTTTTTCTTTTTCTTTTTTTTTTTTAGTTTTGTCTAAAAATAATTGTGCAAAGGAAAAGACAGTACCCAAGAATTTAGGTCAGTATTGATGACTACAAGTTCAAAATGGCCTTTCAAATTGAGTAGGAAAGCAAAGATGAATCCATTATTCTGTGGGATATTCAGGTAATGGCCAGCAGCCAAGGTGCCAGCAATCTTGCCCTTGAAGTTCAGCAAGATCATAAGAATAACAACTATTACATTATGAGCCTTTGCAAGACCACTCACATCAAATTGGAAGCCAATGTATCCAAAGTAGGTTGGCAAGATGAAGTTGCAGACAAAGTAACCAAGTTTGAGTAATAATGTTCTGGCTGTTTTGCCTTCTCTAGGGAACATTAAGCCAACATAGAAACAGGGAAGTATACTGTTATAGCCAAAGGATTCAACAATCAGGGGTAAAACCATAATTAGAAAAATAATAAGAGCAACATGTGTGTTTCTCACATATTCTCTATCCTTGTCCCATTGGTTAAACTAGAGTGCTAAAAACTTGTTCAGAATGATGAGTGCTGCAGTGAAGATAATAGCAAGAAACACAATTGCAAAACCTTTCCATGGAGCAAAAGTAACATAAACAGAGGAGAACAAAACACACAACATCTCATTGACCAAAGAAGAAGTTATTACCAACCGTCCCACGCCTAAGGTGTCAAGTTTCATGTCAGCCACCAATCATATCACCACTAGAAAGGCTGTTTTTGTTAAGATAACCATAATAATGATGACAAAATCGAATTTCTTATTTAGGATTTGAAGCTCCCTAAAAAATAGAGGGGAAAAAGCTGCCGCAAGGATGCTTGTAAAGATAGCACCCCCATAAGCAATGGTGCTAGCTAGACGAAGCTTCCACTTCTAAAAAGCTACACCCATCTCTAGTTCGATAAAAAACATGAAGATTATTCCAACTATGTTGGCAAAGAATTGATGGTATTCTATAGGAGAAGCCTCAAGGAATAGTTCTCTTACTTTGTTGATACGAGAAAGTAAAGATGGTCCAAGCACAACACCAACCAAATACAAGATAGAATAGAAAGCAATCATAAAACATGCCATTAGACATAGAACTTTGCATTTAGCTTGGTGAAATGTAAATGCTTACCAATATCTGGGCAATGGGACCAGTCTATTCAACAGGTTTAAGGAGAAGGTGGAAGAAATGAGAGATAACTAGAATACATGAAACCTGTGTACTTGTTGTGACCAAAGGGTTGATATCATTTTTACACAGAGGGTTATTGAATATATCCATGCCCAAAGAGCAAGAATTGTTGAGGGAAATGAGATGATTGAGGAAGATTTTGATTATGGTGAATTAGTAGAGAAGCAAAAGAGATGGTGGGGGTATATGTCATTAAGTGATGTCCCTTACTTTTCTCTCTTCCCCTTCATTTCCTTAAAAATCTCTTGTATTTCCTCCATATGCATTTTTTCTCTCTTCTTTGAGATCTCTTATATTTAGTCTTTGTCTGAAATGATTCCAATTTTTTTTAAGGAAACAAAATGCTAGACTTTGTTTATTTTTCTTTAAATGAATAAACATCTTCATTTTAAAATTAGGAAAATTGTTTATCAATTGAATTCATAAAACACCTAAATAAACTATATTGTTTTAGTAAATTTTTATTAAAAAAATTACAATAACATATTTTTAAAGTAAAAATAAAATTATTTTGATATTTTTTATGATGTTTTATTGAAATGATTAAATTTAAAAAATTGTATATTTAGTTAATAAATACTAATTTCTTAAAAAAAAAAGAAAAGAGAAAAAAAACTCTAGGGTCACAGTTATCATATTGATCTACACAAATATCTTTTTCTTTTCAATTTAATTTTCAAAGACATAAATTTAACTAAGTAATTTATGAAAAATGTCTTTCAAAAAGATTATCCAAACCAAAAGGTTTCCTTTTTTGGTGAAGGGTGGGGAAGAATCTTTTGGACCATCTCCAAATGGACGGCTCAAATTCAGAGATCAGTTTTTACCGACTTACAAAAATGAGAAATCCATTCCCTACGTTATCTTCATCTTGCTTCTTCCCAATCAAATTAGTAGATATTAGGATATTATATTTTGAGAAGTAGAATCCATAAATTAAAAAATACATTTGAACCTGGCCCTTCGGATTAAGTTGCTCTAGCCACGCTTATAAGGTTCATATCCCCCTCTCCAAGGCAACAGTTTGAGCCAGTTCATGACAAAATGTTCAAAAAAAAAAAAAATACTTTCTTTTCAATAAGGTCTAAGGGTAACGTAACTATGATACCAGTAGTTTAATAGTTAAATTCTTGAAATTTTAAATTTTAAATTTAAAATTCACATCTTAAATTAGAGAAAATGTAAACAAATAAAAAAATTATTTTTTTATATAATTCATCATTATTAAATATATAAAATAAAAATAGTAAGATAATATAAGTATTAAACTAAAATAAAAAGTAAAAAAAAATTATAAAAAGCATTTTAATAATTTTTTAATAAAAACTTTTAACCTATGCCAGGTTTTAGACAAATTTTTTATAATTAAAATTATATTTTGTTTTTACAATTTAAAATGAATTTGTTATTATTTTAATTTAGAAGTATTTAAGGAGAGAGCAGTGCAAGGGACACTGGCCTCTTGCACTCTCCGGCCAACACTTCCCCTTTCATTGGGCCACGGAAGCTTATTTCAGGTTTTGAAGTGCAACATCTTGCCGACAAGATAACGTGGCCCAGTAAAAGTGAAAGTGCTGGCCGGAGAGTGCAGAAGGCGAGTGCCCCTAGCATTCCTCTTAAGGAGAAAAAGTCCTGAGTCAGCAGGGCGCCAGCAGCTGAGTAAACCCAAACCAAACGCAATATTCAACGAAAAACCAAAACCCATCAGAGGGAAGAAAAAAAGAAAAAGAAAAAGAAAAATGGAAATTTCTAAATACAAGTTAAAGTTACTTCCTTTATAAAAACCCTTATTCTCTCTCTAGAGTCCCCTTTCTCTTTCTCTTTCTCTCTCTATTCTTACCTCTAATTGAGTATGATGATCTCTCTTACCCTTTGATTGTAGTTGATTTCTTGATGGATCTGCTGGTTTTTTCAGGATCCTGCTGGGTTTGAGCTTAATTTCTCGCTACCTTCTTGGTTTTTTCAGTTTCGGGGTTGATTGGGTTGTTGTTCCAGGGGAGAAATAATGAAGGTTCCCTGTTGTTCAGTGTGCCAAACGCGGTACGACGAGGACGAGAGGGTTCCTCTTCTGCTCCAATGCGGTCATGGGTTCTGCAAGGATTGTCTTTCTAGAATGTTCTCTGCCTCTGCGGATACCACGCTCTCCTGTCCCCGCTGCCGCCACGTTTCCCTGGTCGGTAACTCCGTCCAGGCCCTTCGGAAGAACTATGCTGTGCTTGCACTTATCCACTCAAATTCCAACGCCAACGCCTCCAACTCTAGAAATTTCGACTGCGATTATACCGACTCCGATGACGATGATGCTGATGCTGATGGGGAGTTTGATGGTGATGAGGTGGCAGGACGGTGTAGCCGGGGCTCCCACGCTTCTAGCTCTGGAGGATGCGGACCGGTCATCGAGGTTAGTTCCCATCAGGAGGTGAGGCTGGTGCGGAGGATAGGGGATGGGAAGGGGAAGGTAGGGGTGGAAACGTGGGCGGCTGTGGTTGGGGCACATGGCCGGTGCAAGCACAGGGTCGCGGTTAAGAAGGTGACAGTCGTGGAGGGGATGGATGCCGACTGGGTGCAGGGGCAACTCGAGAATTTGCGGCGCACTTCCATGTGGTGCAGAAATGTTTGCACTTTCCATGGTGTGGTGAGAATGGAGGAAGGAAGTTTGGGTCTTGTTACGGATAGGTGCAATGGATCTATTCAGTCTGCTATGCAAAACAATGAAGGCCGGCTTACTTTGGAGCAAGTCCTAAGGTTTGTTGATCTTCTTATGGTTTTGAAATTTAAATTATCTTTGTTTATCATTGTGCTGGATGTTATTAAAAATATAATTCATTTTGGTTTTCTTGGATGGTATTCAACTGATTTGAAATGGTTTCTTGTTTTTTCTGAGTTCATGGTAATTCCATATTAACTTTGTGGATGGGAGCAAATTTTAGTATTCTGCCCTATTTTTTTTATTTTTTTTGGTTGTTTTTCTATCCAAGTTAACTATTCATGGGGTGCAATTACCATATTCGGGCTTGTCTTCCCTAATTGAGACCAGAAACTAGTGGGTTTGCTTGAACTGAATCTTTAAAATTTGATATTTGTCAGGGTTATGGATCCGAATTTGGTATTTTATTGTAGGATTTGAATGAGACATCTCAGATTATGGTACTGCAATGTGAGGGAAGATGCTCAATAAGAAATATTTTATCTTGGAGTTTCATCATATTTGAAAGTATGCTATGCACGGTGTTATTGCAGAGGTTGAGAGTTTTTATTGCCTCTTGGTTTTTTAGTGATAGTCTTTCATATCTAAAATCTATAATTTCCTCCACGCCCTACTTTCTGTTGGAAGCAATTAGCAAATGCTTTGGTTTTTAATGAATAATTTCATAGTTTAGTTTCTGATATTTGGTCTTCTTGTCATTCACATAAAAAGTCTGGGCAACATTCTTTATGGTGGATATGATTAAATTTTTGTAAATATATGAAATTAATATATTGCACTTCTAGAGGCAAAAAGAAATTGGTAAATATTATTTATAATTTTGCTAAGAAATATAATGAGAAAAGCTGAAGGAGAGAAGATGTTAAAGTTATCAATTTTTGATCTTGAAGTATAGCTACTCATATGAGAGCAAGTAACAGGATATATGTTTTCGCTTACCCATATAAAATATAGTTAAAACATTTAATATGAATGTGGAAGATAGTTTTGGAAATAATTGGCGCTTATTGCTAATGCTTCAATATATCTAATTTTCTCAAGTTTGGAATTGAGTTATTATTTATTGCTATAAATGACAATGCAACTTC